ACATATACATATACATATACATATACATATACATATACATATACATACACATACACATACACATATACATATACATATACATTACATATACATTACATATACATATATATAAAAATATACACACGTATTATATATGCATATATAAAATATATACATATATAATATGCATATATACAAAATAGCTCATTATATTTAATGACCCCAAAATACAGACAATTGATTACATTTAAAGATCAAAACCTGGAAAATTTTGGAGGCATGTGGTGGGGGAAGGCAAGTCTGTTTATTTTTAAAAATCTTTCTCCCTAGGTAAAGTGAGGAGTTGGGAAAGAAAGGAAAACATAAGATGAGATCACTCTATGAACAAGTGACGGTTTGAAGTGGGTCACCTCATTGCCATCGCATAAGCACCTTATTGCACCAACCCAAGGAATCACCTGCAAGTGAACAGTGAAGGTAAGATGCCTTTGTGTGAGAATCCCTTTCTTCCCTTGTATTGTTGAGAACACTAGGAGAATCATTATCCTAAGTATGGCAAAAAGAGTACTGGAATCGGAATCAGCCAGCCAGGACTGCATTAAGTGGCTGGGGACTCTGGATAAGTCATGTAGATTCTCTGCACCACACCTTCCTCCTCTGTTCCCTGACACTGCTCATCTCTAAGGTACCTTCTCTGCTCTGATTCCTGGTTTCATCCTCTAAACCTATGCTTCCAAAATTTTTTGACGTTTTCTCTTTTATCTTAAAAATTTATGGCACTTTGTACTCGTCTGTGTGTGTCTTAAAATAAAAATAACGTTTTATTTCTTTTTCCACAAGAGACTTACTTTATTTGTTTCCAGCTTTATTGGGATATACCTGACATATCACATTGTATAAGTTTAAGGTATACAATGTGTTGGTTTGGTATACTTTTATATTGCCAAGTGATTACTATCCTAGCATTAGTTAACCCTCCCATCACATCACATAATAATTTTTTTTTTGTAGTGAGAACATTTAAAATTTTACTCTCTGAAGAGATTGAAATAAAAATAACATTTAGAATTCGGAAGTCCAGTGGATGCTATGATAAAATGGGCCTCTCGCATCTGAGGCTTCTACAATCCCCTGGTATATAAGAGTGAAACCCCAAAGTTACTTCAGTTTGGGGAGGCAGGGGATTAATCATTTTGAGTTCTTCCCTGCTCTTATATATCAGAATGGGGTATGTTATACTGTAGTAAGAAATAATCTTAAGATTTCAATGACTTAAAAGAATAAATTTTATTTATTTTGTCCTCATGACAAGTGGTCCCCATGAGTCAGTGAAGGCCTTGTGTTCATTCTCACTCAGGGCCCAGGCAGAGGGAATTTCCACCTCTGTGCTTTATGATCCATGTTATGTTAGGCAAGGCAGGACAATGGAGATATAGTGAATTGTTCACTGGTTCTTTGATCACTCACATTCATTGACTAAAACAAGTTACAAGGCCATGCCTCGCTGCGAAGGAGGGAATGCCATTCTACAATGTTCCAGAAGGCAGAGAGGCAGAATGATTTGGCAAACAGATAATGGTTACCACATCAAGTAAAGTCAAGAATGGGGCAGAAAGAGGTGCCTGAGAGAGACAAGGACAGTTTAGGACAAGTCCCCTGAAGATTACCAGCTGCCCTGAAGTCTCTTTACAAAGTGAACTCACACGATGAACTCATGACTAGTTTGTGTTTCCCTTTACTATTCACACACTTGCTTTACACTATCTTTCTTCAAACAATCTATGAGATTGTGAAGACTGCAATCACATTCTAGTCCTTCCCTGAGATTACTTTTAGAGATACATTGACTGGAGTTCTGGGAATTTTAGATCCCTTTGTCTATGCATGACAGTTGCCTGTATGGCTCTTTCTCATAGCTGGTTAAGTAAGCATAGACATTGTCTCTGGTTTCTGTTGCTTTAAATTTCAAAGGGGCAAGTTTTCAGAGGGTACCTCATTAACAAAATAAGAGGACATCATCCTTCTTTTGATACTAATGTTTTGCTCCCCACAAGGAGGGATGTCTCTGAAGACAAAATTGCTTTGGGGATGGACTCTAGCCAGTCTACTCAGAGTCCTTTTCAGTTGCTTGGGTCTCTGACTTCTGGTTGGGTTATAGGAAAGGGCCATGCCAGATTTGTACATCAAGCCACAGATTGTCTGTTGACCATTAGAGAATATTTTCTGAGTATATTCTTTGTAACATGGTGCCAGATAATACAGGAAATCTGAGGCAAACTGAGCCACCTCTGTCTCTGTCTCTCTCTCTCTCTCTGTCACTCTCTCTCTCCTTGAGGCTCCTGGGATATTGAAAAATAAAGTAATGCCAAAAAAGGATCATAGAAACTGTGATGAATTTAAAGTTGTTGGACGAAGTGCTTCTTTTAAAAACTCTTGCCAGTATGTCTATGAAAGTCTAGGTATAATCTCATTTGGAGATATCATCAAAAATCTAAATTTGAGTCTTGTTTTTGAATATGAGGCTTATGCCAAATGGTTCTCTTGGATTCTCCCAACCTCAGTATCTCCATGATAGGTCCTGGTAGTAAGTGTAAGACATTTTGTCTGCCCTTGAGACACTCAATATCAATTTAGGGAGTCAGTATTAAAAATATAATACAGACACTAATACAGGTGGGTATATAATGAAGTGCTTAGTTGGCAGCAGAAACCGTATGTATTTTTAAGAGTTTAGAGAATGGAGTGATCATTGTGGGCTAGAGTAGTCAGGAATGTTTTCACGTAAGGGTTGGGATAAAAGAGCAAAAGGATTTTAAGGACAACAACAACAACAGTAACAAAAGTGACAGGATACTGACTTCCTTCTGTAAATCTACTTTCAATTAAAACTGTCTCTGCTTTATCAGTTTCACTTGTTGGTCCGTGAAAGGACCAGGGTTGCTCAGCCAGCAAACCCTGGATCAGAGCTTTTGTGAAATCCTGTATCATTTAAGCCCTGTGTTGCTGTCTCCTTGAAGTAGGCTAATTTGTGAACTGACAGCCACTAGGGATGCAGATTTGAGAGCAAACAATAGACTTTTCTCACACTTCCCTTTGAGTCCAGGAGGGAGCTAATAATTTCCTTCCCGGGTGTGCCAAACCTAGCAGGGGATGAGCAGTATGGATGGTGGAGTTGATGCAGGCAAGCCTTCTGGAGGGGCTTCTAAAATTCTCCTCTCTTTGAAGCAAGTCAGGATAGCGCATGTGGAGCTATCCTGAGTGTAGTGAGAACAGACCTACAAAACTTTCTCACTGTAGTGGGGCTGTGAGCATCCCCTACGGCCTCCCTTTTGGACAGCAGGAGCCCAGGGAGCATACCCCATGGAGTCACCAAGTCTGCAAGAGGTGGGAGAACACTTGCTACTCATTGAATCCTGCTCTCCTCTGTAGTGCTGACTGGAGAGGGGAGGCTCATCAGAGTGAACTGTCTTCCCTTCTAAGAGGATACTTTTTCCCCCTCTCTTAAAACCAAAGTTAGAATTTTTGTTTGAAAATGAATTCTTAGACTCTGGTTTTAGTTAGACATTTCCATAGGGAACAATAGAACTATAGTACATTTCTAATTTAAAACTTTGCATTGTTGATGAAGTCTTGAAAATAACAAGACTAGGCAACCCAAACATCTGTTACTTTCAATCTTTTCTCTCTCAACTTGCAGCACGCTTGTGGCACTAAGTCTTGGAATGTGGGAACTGTCTCTGATCAGTATTTTGGGGGGTTTTGGAATGCGCAAGAAAATATAGATAAGATTCTGCACTCAAAATTTATAATGCATTGCAGATTGCACTGTGGGTTTCTGAAACAACAAAAAAAATCATGGTGGGTTTTAAAGCAGTTTGGAAGAATAGCACAGCTCTTTGATGTAGGGTATTTAAATTAATGTTAGTCACAACATAAAGCTCAAATTTAAAATGTGTCTCCCTTCGATTACCACACATCAGACTACTTGTAATAGAGACAAAATTGCATTTCTTTAGAGGGAAATGCAATGCTATTTTGATCATCAAATGTACTGGGAACAAAGGTTCTTGTTAGCCATATTGGGTCTGGTGCAGGCAAGTTTCAGCCAACTTGGCTGTGGACCAGTTGTGATGGCTGAGCAGGGTGGATTTTGCTATTAGCAGCCTCTGGTAGGAAAGTGGGGCTGGGGCCTGGTAGAGGCAAAGGCCAAACTCCCAGCACTCTCTGATCTGAGACACAGAATGCTCTAGCTGCCTGGGCCATGGCTTCTGAGTCAAGGAGAACTGGCAGGTCACTGTGCATAGGCTCAGGAGAGATGCTTACTATTTAACAAAAGTGCTATTACAGTGTAACTTACCAAGAAGTTATCATTTGCTCAAAATATCAACGGCTGTTTCTTTCCTCTTTTAAAATTTCCTTTGGAAGTGCCTGTGTTGGGCAGCCTGTAGCGTGGTCGAGAGGAGGTGTTGCTGAGAGGAGATTGTGTAGGGGAACAAAGTTTTTCCCTCCACTCTCTGATAGTGAGGTGTGTGAAATAAATGAACAACAGGCAGATTAATAAGAGAAGAGCTTTTATTTTATTTATTTTATTAATTTTTAGTATTATATACATGGGGATATTGCAGGAAAAAGTAAATATCCTCCCCTAAGTGGTGAGATTTGAGAGCTTTTATACTGTCTTAATAGGAGAAGGGGGGTGGAAATGTAGGCCACTTAGCAAAGACGAATGGGCCCTTAGAATAGACAGGAGGTGTGATAATTTGTGACAAAGTTTGTCAGGGGGTAGTGTTGACTTCTAGTTTTTTCTGTGACAAGACTCCATCGTTCTTGGTTGATTAAACTCCCAGGGAGAGGATTTATAACAATTGAGTTCCTTTTGGAGGATCTGTCTTTAGAGAAAGCCTCTCTGCATTTGCTGTTTTCATGTGTCTTCAGTTCAAAATAATCCATATACCAAAGTGGCATATTTCATGGGTGGCATGTCCTGAATTCATTCCTTTAGTGCCTAGTAGGTGACCTTATCTGGCCATCTGCAATGAGGTCCTGAGCTGATCTAGGTGGCAATACAGGATGAACAGGTGAACAGGTGTAGTCTGATGCTATCTCTAAAGGACAGGACAGAGAGATCTTGGTGTTTGAAGTCAGATACTCCAAGGAAGGTTGAAGCTAACTGTGGTAAAGTGATTGGGTCCAGGCCTGTGTGCTCCTCCTGGATGTTTTTCTGGACTCACCAAGTTCCCTTCTTTTTAGTGCTCTGTCTCATGGGGTTGACTTTTGGGTCTGAAGTAGTCAGGTCTGCTTGGTTCTTCAGCTTCATAGTTGGTCCTGTTTTTTCACAGCTGGCCATTTCCTCTTGTTAAGGCGAGTGTTGATCTCCCTGGGAGCATCAAGGACAGGAATGTTCTGTTTTTCCTTTCTTTCCCCCTGTATTCTGTGAGATGTCAGTCTTGACACTTTAAAAACTAAGCTGTTTCTTC